AGAAAAGAGATCCTCTGCACGGGGGCGAGTTTGCTCTTTTCTCAGTTGACCTGAAACCCCAATAGGTGGAGGTGCCAGAGCACCTTGTCTCTGCGCATAATCAATTGCTCCCGAGAGTGGGCTAAAAATCAACCAGTCGTCGAGATAATTGAGTATGCGGATGCCCGCAAGCCGAAAGGGCGCTAAGGCACCCTCCACGAGCTTGGTAAAGACCCGCGGAGACAGAGAGAGCCCGAAGGGGAGGACTTTGTCTTGCCAAGCTCGACCTTTAAATGTAAACCGCAGAAACTGACTGTGGTGAGGAAGAATGGAGACATGGAAATATGCGTCTTTCAGGTCTATTGCTGCAAACTAATCCAGAGGACGAACGCACCGGAGGATGCGCTTCTGCAAGAGCATTCTGAACGGCAGCTTGTGCAGACAGCGGTTCAAAACGTGCAGATCTAGGATTGGCCGTGACCCACCGCTCTTTTTGGGCACGATGAAGTGCGGGCTGTAAAACCCGCTCTCCATCTCGGCTGGAGGGACCGGCTCAATTGCATCCTACGCCAGGAGGACATCAATCTCCTCTTACAAGACAGGGGCGGACAGGGGGCTGACCCTGGTGAATACACACCCGTAAACTTGGGGGGCCGTTTCGCGAACTGAATCGTATAGCCGAGTCTGATTGTGTGTATGAGCCACCGCAAACGGCTGGCCGCGCTAACCAGGCAGGCTGTGCTCTCGCTAATGGACTCATCGCTACAATCGCTGACGTACCAGCAGTGGGGCAGCGCGGAGTGGGTGTGCTGATCCGGGGAGCGCAAGGGTCCCGCGGAAGAGCTGGAGGCGAGAGATTTGTTCTCACTCCGCACCTAAACTCCAGAGGGGAGACTTGAGGGGTCCTTGAGGGGACCATCCTCCCAGCGCTCGTGAGCCACTGGCGAAATGCACTGGACCTGCGAGCTAGAAGCATAGCATCCCAGACTGGCAGATTTCGGGCTGTCACATCCGGGGAAGTGGAAAAGTGCTCTATTATTGATGTTTTCATGGCAGTAAAAAGTGCCGTTGAAAATGGGGCCCCACCCTCCAGCGGGGAAAGAGCAAGTTCCCTCTTCTCCAAATGACCTTTTCCAGGGACGCTTCGCGGTCCATTTACCGAACTTAGCGGCGCTCTGGGCAGGGGGAGCTGCCTGCTTTCGAGGTGCTCTACACGCTCGTTTCAACGGAGGCGTGTGCGGGGGCATCAGGCTGCTCTCTCACCGCCTTGAATTCCTGGGTGAATTCACAGATGGTGTCGCCGAACAGGCCAGCTTGGGATATGGGGGAGTCAAGAAAGTGGACTTCGCGCAAATCAGCCAAGTTTAGCCAGAGGTGGCGCTCCTGGACCACTAATGTGGACATCGTCCTCCCCAACGCACACGCAGTGGACTTAGTGGTCCGAAGAGCATAGTCGGATGCGGTGCGAAGCTCACAAGCCAGGGTTGGACCCACCCTTGGGCAGCTCGGCCAGCGCCTGCGCTTGGTAGTGCTGGTAGGTGGCCATCGCTTGCAAGGCAGAAGCAGCATGGCCCGCAGCCTTGTAAGCTCTTGCTCCAAGGGAGGCAGATAACTTACAGGCTTTGGACGGGAGACGAGGCGGACCCCACCAAGAAGAGGTGCCACGCGGACAAAGATTGACCACAATCGTGCGCTCGACCTGAGGAATTGCCACATACCCCCTGGCTGCAACACCATCAAGTGTGGTAAGGGCTGAGGGACACGCAGCACGGGCAGAAAAAAGTGCCCTCCAAGACTGCGCGAGCCTACTGTGCATCTCCGGGAAGAATGGAACGAGAGGCTTAGAAGGTTTTGCCCTCTGGTCCTCTACGTAGCATCCATCTAGTCGGTCTGTCCGCGGAGCTGGGGGATAAACCATCTCCCACCCACGGCCAAAGCAGCCCGGGAAAGCATGGCTAACATGCTAACATAACACGCTCGAATCTACATTGTAAAAGCACTATACAAATAAAGCTGAATTGAACATGTCCGTTTCAGGATCCGTTTTGACAGTGCTCACCTGTCCGAGGGGGGCGAGCGGGCCTGGATTCCGTAGGACAATGAAAGCCCACCCTCCGATGCAGCAGTGGACGTCTGGTCCCCGGTGTCATCGAACGTAAGGGCTACCATCTGTTTAGACAGATCGCTTCCTCCGTTCGAAGCTTGGATGGAGCGCTTGGAGGAGCGGGAGGTCGGCGGGCCCGGAGGCGACGTATTATCTCCCACTGGAACCTTCAGATCTGCCCGGGTGCCCACTTCAGTGCAGGGGACAGCTGGGGTGGTTCGCCCTTTTGCAAAGGCTAGGCGCGATCATAACTACGCAACAGTCATGGCATCGCAATGACGACATGAACTGCCCGCGAGCACCGCATTAACATGTTGGACCACCAGACATGCAACGCAGTACTCGTGCCCATCATCCGGGGACAGGAAACCACCGCATCCAGAAATGCACGGTCGGAGCGCCATCCTGAAAAGGACATGCTGCACGACTGTGTTTCTCTTTTTGTGAAGTTGCAACTTTATACGCACAGCTCTGGAGGACCGGACCCAAAGAACGCCAGGCAAGGGAGAAACCCAGCTCGACCATCTGCCGATGCGTGTACACACTCTGGACCTGGAGAATGCTCTCGTTCGCTCGAAATCGCATGATCACAGCAGGAGGAACCCTCATCGACTCTCTCAGAAGGCTGTAATAGTTTCTGAAGCGAAAAGGATGGCGTTGTCCTTGCTTTCCCTGTGCTTATATGCGGAGCTAATTGGCAATAAGCTCCAGGTGCGCAAGCTTACACTGCCAACTCATTTGGCATTCATTGGCCCATTATATACTCTTTCAGACAATTGGCTTTCTGAAACGAAATCCCCATTTGTGGTTTAAAATCTACTAATAGCATTAAAGTTCCCCACCCGGAGGGGAACAGCAGTTTATAGCATGTGTGCATAAATGCACTTATGTTTATTGTGATTTTCTCAGACAGATCAAGAAAAGTGTATAAAAGTCTCACTCACTCACACATGCACAATGACAAAAAGAATTCAAAACAGTAGTGATGATATGGATAATTTTTAAATGAAAATGCTGCCTTCATTATTATCTGGATTGGTGTAGCCTATGTTATGACTATACTTGTTGAGACACATTGTTGTTAACTCATTGGTTATATATTGTAAGTAATTAGATAATTCTGTCCGTGGAATTTGTACATACTTGGAAGCACAGTATATGCCAATCTAGTGCTATCAAATACATTCTGTAACAAAAAATAATATAGAGCAACAAGCGATATCTGATGATTCATCAAATTTAAAGTGCTACATCATGATACTTTAAACTTTTCTAATTTTGTGTTATAAATTTATTATAATAGTTTTATAAATCTAAGGTAAATTAAAAGTCTTTTACATCTCAAAAACAAATCTGAATTACCAAATTACCAAATCTGAATAAGTTGCAATATTGTATATTGTGTCCTGTCACCAACATATAAAACACATACACGTTTTTTTTTTTTTTCCAGGCCTCAACAACAACAACAACAACAACAATAATAATAATAATAATAATAAAAATAATAATAATAATAATAACAATAATAATAATAATAATGATAAATTAATTACATTCATACAGCGCTTTTATGGACACTCAAAGATCTTTACACATTTTTAGGGGGAATCTCCTCATTCCCCACCTGAATGATGTGAATGCAGCCATATTGCCCTAGACCGCAAACCCCAGACCAACTGATTGGTGGAGAGGAGACAGAGTGATGAAGCCAATTATGATATGGGGATGGTTATGAGTCCATGATGGACAGAGGTCAGTGGGCAAATTCAGCCAGGATGCAGGGGTTAAACCCCTACTCTTTTCGAATGACACGTAAAAGGTTTTTTAATGAACACAGACAGTCGGGACCTCAGTTTTAAAGTCTCTTCCGAAAGACGGTGCTTACTGAGCAATATAGAGGTTCCTTCACTATACTGGAGGTGTTGAGCATTACCTGCTAGCCTCACTAGCACTACTTCCGGCAGATATCTAGCACTTCTATGTGGTCTCACATCCAGGTACTAACCAGGTGCAGCCCTGCCGAGAGCTAGCTGCCAGCTGACTATAACTGCATGGTTTGAGTGTCAAAGTACACATTAATTTGTGATCCATTGAAGATCATAGACTGAAATCATCAAATGTATTGCTAATAACAATCCATTTTAGACAGTTCAGAAGCATTTCTTCTTCTTTCTTTCTTTCTTTCTTTCTTTTATTCACAGAGGTTATTTATTCTCCGTTTCACTACTTGCTGCCCACACTGATGTTTCTCTACTTATCATGCCAGAAAATAAAAGTTCCAACCACAGCTGGTTATAGCCAAACCAATATTTATCTACGCATATCTCAAAAATGATTGTATTAAAATATGATTGCCGTTATCCAAATAAAAACAAAGGCAGCTCAACTTGTTCAGATCAACTCTTTACACTCCCTGTCAGAAGCCTGAGAAATCTGGATGGTGGATTTAAAGACTTACACGCTTGTTTTCAGTCAATATCTTCATGCAAGACTGCCAATCAGTGTTCAGTTCCCTTTGTTTCAGCCTACCAAAATCCACATCCAAAAAACGATCCCTGATGATGATAACAGCGCTGAGGTGTTTTGAATTCTTTTCTTGATCTCAATATGGCTTAAACTTTATTGCCGTGGCCCTATCAGCGCTCTGAGGAATGATTGTAGTTTGAATCCTGTTAATAGTGGCACCGAGTGAAGCATTTACAGAACGCAGGCCCCCCGTTATTGTACTGGCAGGGAGTTTGAGATTCGCCGTCTGACATTTAACATGGATGTCCTGTGCTCTGCTCTCTGTTCCAGTAAGATGAGAAGAAAGTACGATTAATTTTCTCTGCAGGGCCAAAGCAAGCAAGAGGAAAAGAAGGGAATGAGAGAGAATGAGAAATGATTGGAAGTAAGTAATAAAGTAGAGGATTACCGTATTGCCGTTTTCAAGCCATGTTATCGAAGGGATAGGGTTGCCAGTGGCGTTGCACTCTAATGTGACCTCTGATCCAATCTGAACTCGCTTTTCCTTGGGAACTTTCAGTATCTTGGCAGGAGCTTTAGGAAAGTCAGGGACAAAATATGAAGAAATAGAAACAAATATATATAGTCAAGCACAACATATCTATCTAAGTGAATTAATAATTACATCCAACGAAAGCTAACCTAAATGCACAATACTTAAAGTTGAAGTCAGATTTATTAGCCCCCCTGAATTATTAGACCACTTATTTATTTTTTCCCCAATTTCTGTTTAATGGACAAAAAAAAATTTCAGCACATTTCTAAACATATTAGTTTTAATAACTCATTTCTAATAACTGATTTCTTTTATCTTTGCCATGATGACAATACATAATATTTGACTAGATGTTTTTCAAGACACTTCTATACAGTTTAAAGTGACATTTAAAGACCTAACTAGGTTAATTAGGTTAACTAGGCAGGCTAGGGTAATTTGGCAAGTTATTGTATAACTGGTTTGTTCTGTAGATTATCGAGAAAAAATATAGCTTAAAGGGTCTAATAATTTGTCCCTAAAATGGTGTTTAAAAAATTAAAAACTGCTTTTATTCTAGCCGAAATAAAACAAATAAGTCTTTCTTCAGAAGAAAAAATATTATCAGACATGCTGTGAAAAAAAAAGAAGAAAATTTTTTGAAGGAGGCTAATAATTTTGAGTTAAACTTTACGTTTAAAAAATAATGCCACCCGACTAATAACTTGCAAAACACTTTTCCCTTAAGAAATAATTATTCTCAACAAGTAACTTCAAATGCTAAAAGCACTTTCATGAGATAACTGATTAAGTACACTGTAATAAATAAATAAAATTAACTTAACATAAAATTGTAAGGCAACTTGCTGCAGAGCTTTTTAGAGTTGACGCAACTTAAATCAGAGCAGTTAAAATTAGAGCAGTATTTGTGTCATGATTGCCATCAATCTAACCCTTATAGATTGCTGGAGAACATTCACATTCACACGGACTACAATCCTGTCTCCATACAAACTACAAGTCCACACACACACACACACACACACACCTGTTCCAAGTCTCCTTTGATTAGACTCACACAGCTGAAGCAGCTCATGTACTGATTACACTACACATATATGCGGCTCAATTTGATACTCTTTTGTTTGGTTAACACCCTATAACATTACAGTGTTCCCTGATTTAGTTTCTACTTGTTTTGAGCCTTGCTTTGTTTTATCATTTACCCTGTCTGCCGTCTATATCAACCATCTGCCTGTTGCCTGCCAACACGTCAGAATCTCCTTGTTTGCATCCATTTGCACATATTTTACATAATTGCCTGTATGACTACAGTTCTAAATAAAACCTGTATAAGGATTCTCACTCTGTGTCACTCGACAAGTTTACAACTTGAGTTGAAAGTTGAGTCAACTCAAAGCTCTGCAACAAGTTGCCTCACAGTTTTGAATTTTTTTTACAGTGTAGTTTTCAGATAAGCAGAAATTAAACACATGCTTAGTATAAAATAACACTCATGAGATATGTACCGCCATTCTTCACTGAATGCAGAGGTCACTCCAGGTAAGTTTACCAAGTGAACCTTATAAAGAACTACAAATAAGCGCAAATAAAACATTGAATTCAACATGGATTTTTTAAGTAAAAAAAAAAAAAAAAAAAAACGGAATACACCATTGACCAATAAACCTAAAAATACATTTGTCTCAACAGAATTTGGACATTGATACTAAGTCACACTTGTCATGTTGTATTTGCATTTGCTTAAACTTAAAAATAGGAAAATCAGGGTTCCTATTGGCCCTTGAAATACTTTAAAGTTTGTGAATCTGAACAAAACACCTTTTTTCTAGAAAAGAAAAATCAATTTTATTCTTTTCTGTTCTGCTAATGTGTTACAGTACTTTGCCAACACTTTATGACCTATAAATACCAGATTGTTTGATTTATGTCACTGTAGTTACGGTACATGCATTTACACATTATATTAAGTGTTTCCAGATTAGTTACAGAATTCCAGATTTCTTCAAATTATCGGATACACTGATAAAGACAGCCTATTCATTTTTTTAGGGTGTACTATACCTTTATTGAGGAGTAAAGCTAAAGTGTGTCATGACATACCTTGTACTTCAATAGTAACGGGCCTGGAGAAAGCAATTCCAAAACTGTTTCTGGCCACACATCGATATTGTCCAGCATCTTCTTTCTTGATGTTGGTAATTTTTAGGGAACCCGATTCCAAAATTGCTATACGATTATTAGCCTATATGTAAAAACACACATGTATCGTTGAGCTGTAATTAATATTACTGTCTCAACTAATAAATACTTGGAAGATATGTTAAATGGCAAGACAAGTCTTTTTATTTACCTTGATCAAATCATCTTCTTTTATCCAGGATATTTCAGGTTTGGGATAACCTAATGATAAACATGGCAGCACTGCTTTGGACTCCAAAATCAATGTCATGTTAGTAGGATGTCTCTTGATTTGGGGCTCTAAGAAAAAAAAAATCAATAATTATTAACATTGAACACTATACCAAACTCAAAGCAATGTAAAAATACAATTGACAAAATTACCATTTGGATATTAAATGATAATATTCAAATTCAGTCATTTTTAAACTATGATAAAGAAATGCTATTTTTGCCATTAATATGGGATGCATTTTTCAAGATAATTTGTGACTGAACTACCCTAGAAAGATGTTATGTCAGAATGTTTTCCAACATCATAATTTAAAACATCACAGATTAATCTTATGGGGGGGGGGGGGGGGGTTGTTTATGTTTATGTTTTTAAATGTCTTTTCAGCTTAAACCAGCTTGATATGATACAAGTAAATCATATCAAGTAACCTTAAGCTTTCGTCACAACCCATGGACGCAAAAATGACAAAAATTATTTTAAAGTACACCACAAAAGGGGCACAATTGTCAACCTGAAGATCATTAAAAATAAACTCGAAAAAAATTAAAAGCAAATAGCAATAAATGCAAGAGAGACAACTTTAATCTTTCTAAAAATCATTCAAAGTGGATTGTGGAGTGTGAAAGGAATAGGGCATAGGGCAGGGCTGTCAAACTCTGTTCCTGAAGGGCCGCAGTACTGCACAGTTTAGCTCCAACCCTAGTCCAACACACTTACCTGTAGGTTCAAACAAGCCTGAAGGACTCAGTTAGTTTGATCAGGTGTGTTTAATTAGAGTTGTAACTAAACTGTGCAGAGCTATGACCCTCTAGGAACTGAGTTTGACACCTGTAGCAAAGGGGGATAACTCGGGATAGAACACAGCCAGGAAATATGCACAGACAGGTTGCAGCCCTGTTTGTGAATGTTCATTGGAATGATGGATCTGGATTTGAACTATGTTCAATGAAACTTGTGACCTTAATTGGCTAATGATAGTTTAGAAAATTCACAGCAGGTTGATAGAATTTGCAGTACAGTGGCCTTCCATGAGCATGATTAGACACCCGTAGGCTAGTGGTGATATAGCTGTTCAATCTTAATCAATACTACCTTAAAGGGGCCCATATAGTATTATATGTATTATATGCATTATGCCTTCTTTTAAGGTGCAAAATAAGTCTCTAATTTTCCTAGAGTGAAATTTTAGTTTGAAATAAAAAAAATAATGTTTTATAACTTTTTGATACGAAAACCTTTTAGGCTTTTGTTTTGAAATGTGTCATTTTGGTAACTGTCGCTTTAAATTGAAATGAAATTGTGCTCCCACTCCTCTTTCCAACAGAGGGTGGAGCTTTAAATGCCTGTGTATCAGCATAGTGGCAGATTAAAAAACAAGATTAACATCCTACGTCAATGAGGGAGAGATCATCTTCAATGGGGGTGGGGGGGGGGGGGGGGGGGGCTTTCCCCTTTTGACGACATGTACAAAAGGGAAATGTCAATCAAAGTGTTTTTAATGTTTTATATAGTGTGATTTATATAAAAAATTAAACTAATACATTTTTTAACCCCTGGTTATATTCACAGACTGTTGCCACACAACTTTGTTTAAACCTATTATAAACAGATTTTTGAATAATAGGTTCCCTTTAAAATGTGGATTACAACAAAAAATCAAGCATTGCTTTTTTGTCTAGTTTTTTGTTTTTTATTTTTTTTATTTTTTGTCATTAATGAGCATCGGTTGATTGCTCTTCAGTGTTTGGACTCTCAGTAGTGATTATTAAACCACACTGAACTGAGCTAAACTGAACTGAATTTAAACTCTGAAAACTGAACTGACACTATTTCAATTTACTATGATCTTCCATGTGAAGCTGCTTTGACACAATCTACATTGTAAAAGCACTATACAAATAAAGGTGAATTGAGTTAAATTGAATATATGATGAGTGAATCAAATATCAAATTATTGTTAGGATCTACAAAGAATTATTTGACAAGTTGCATGAACATGAAATCAGATTAAGTATTCAATGCTTGGTCTAATTATAGTCTGTGATATCTATCAATAAGCTATGAGAGTAAATATTTGAACATACTCATCTTCAGCTGTAGAGCTCCACAGCTCTTGGCTTCTCCAACCCCATTGTTCGCAATGCAGCAGTATTCTCCGCTGTCTGAATCCTTTACATTGGGAATGATCAGCATTTGGCCATTTTCTTGAATAACGTATCTGGAATCGTAATACCTGCAAACAAAAAGCGTATAATGGACATACTTCTCAGAACATTGATCATGTGTCATTAGTGTGTAATTGTAAGATAACTGCACTTGCATCTAACATCAACGACATCGATGTTGGTCTGACGTTGGGTTCTGACGCCAAACTTATTTTCATTTCTACCCAAAATACAACATAGCAATAATGTTGAGGTGCATTGTCTGATGTCATATTGACTTACTGTGCTTTCTGAACAATTTACAGAACTGTATATTTTAACTTTCACATAACCTTGTTTCAGCAATAATAATTATATGATATACAAAAAACACCTAATTTGTATGTTTTACGTAGCATGAGAAAGTGATATGATCAAAAAAAGTCATGCAGAATTTGATTGGATTTCCAGAAATGTTATTCTTGTAGGATTGAAAGTCATAACTGTGTTGTCAATGGAGTAAATTCATATCTAAATGGCAGTTCGTTATGAAAACACTTTGTTGTGAATGCTGATGGTTCATTGCAGACCAAAGTGCTTAAAACAAGGAACTTCAAAGGACCCTTCCAAATGTGGGAATTGTTTGTGGGCAATGGGCAACCTTTGCTCTGATTCTTTGCAAATGTTTAATTTATGACACAAATGAGAAGTGTTACCATGAATAATTTTTGGTTGCTTGTACCTATTATTTCTTTGTAAGTCTCTGAAGGGTAAGTAAGTGGTTCAATAATTTAATTTTTATAGCAAATTATGTTGTTTTCATTACCTTTAATATGAAATAACAAAGCATAAATAAAAGAGGCTAAGACAAATGCAAAAAGAGAAGATTTCAGGCAGCACTTATAAGTTTTTGCATCTGAACTTCCCATTTACAGTATTAATTACTTATTCATTCATGGTTGCTTAATGAAGTCAAATTTTGACTGACAATCTAAACAGACACTTATACTTATTTTAAAACTTTAACCTCTAAACCTGATAAAAACATAATAGTAATTAAGAATAAGCATAAAATTCAGGAAGAAAGTTCTAACCTTATTGGATAATTATTTCTTGTCCATATTATATCAGCTTGAGGGTATGAATCAACCTCACAGATGAAAGTAGCATTATGATCCAGAGAGGAGTCTACAGTCTCAAGCAATGTTGTGATTCTAGGTGCTGAAATAGAAAACAGAAGACAGCATTTCATAAACATATCAGAATATCAAACTATATATATATATATATATATATATATATATATATATATATATATATATATATATATATATATATATATATATATATATATATATTTTATTATTATTTTTTTTTTTTTGGTAACACTTTACAATAAGGTTGATTAGATAATGCGTTTACTAACATGAACTAATCATGAAAAACACATGTACAGCATTTATTAATCATAATTGAACATTTACTAATGCATTATTAACATCCAAGTCCATGCTTGTTAACATTAGTTAATGCACCATGAGTTAACATGAACTAACAATGAACAACTGTATTTTTATTAACTAACATTACCTAACATGAACAAATACAGTAGTAGATTTATTTTTCATTGTTTGTTCATGTTAGTAAATGCATTAATTAACTTTAACTAATGATCCTTATTGTAAAGTGTGACAATTTTTTTTTTTTTTTTTTTTTGTAATGATATCATGTAAAATGACAGACGAAAATTACAAAAAAGCAATTTGACCTTCAATTATAAATCAGACATGTGCAACTCTTGTGAAACAAACTTTTCACAACAAAATATTTGACATTTTGAACAGTTTTGGGCACACCGCAGACAGCCGGGCTCAGACAGGGTCACAGAGGGAGAATATGTTTTCAGTAGAAATAACTGCTGCCAGTGCAAGCCTGATGTTTTCCTACAAATAACTCCAGCTGATAAAAACACATCCCTCCACTGACTGAGTACAGAGTGCACTAAAACAATGCAGTACCATGACTTTAAATGTGTGTCATAGCACAGCCATGTTTTTGGTTAATGACACATAGCAATTTCAAGTTTGTTTGTTGTTGTTTTTTTTATGTTTACCATGGAATAAACCATGAATTTCAGAGATGTAACGTGACCATGGGTTTTTGGATGTATATTATGATAAGTAAATAACTTTTTGTCTGCCAGATCTTACTAGGAAATGTGACTATTTAAATGTAATCAGAAAAGTGGTTAAATTTTACTGAAATGTAGATGAGATTGTACTAATTCATATAAATTAGACACTAAATCAAAATGTTATGATTGGCTGTAAGATTATGTTGTAATAGATATAATATAAATAATAATAATATACAAATAATATACCTATTTGTAGAGTGCCAATACCTTTTTTGTTAACTTTTTTAGACATTTACCTTGATAATTATCATGTTGATGTTAGACTTATACCATGGTATGCCAGAAAAAAAAAAAACAAATTAGATGAATGACATGTTTTTTATTCCCTTGATTGATTGATTGACTGATTGATTGATTTAATTATTTAGCAATGTGATGCAATGTGATGTGTAGTATAGTTGTTGTGATCACCATCAGTGTGTCACAGCTGACAGTCATTTGGACACACACACACACACACACACACACACACACACACACACACGTACACAGCTGATACACATGATCATTGATTATTGGGACTATTTAAACCCCTTTGTTTCACATATAAGTTGCTGCGTCTTGTTTTATAGTTTTGTGGCATTACAGCGCATTTCGTTTGGCTTCCTTTGTCGTGTTTTGATTGTTGCTTTGTTGGTTAGTTTATTCCTGTCTGCTGCCTGCTTTTTGACCATCCACCTGTTTTCTGACCACGGCTCTGGATTTCCTGTATACTTCTGTTTGTTCCTGACTTGCTTGACCATTCTCATAATAAATCCTGCATTTGGATCCACACTCCATTGCCGGCGTACCATCACATTACAATAGTAAAATCAACATGTTTGTGATATGTGATATGTAATTTTAATAATTTAGATTTAAATAATTTTTAAAAATATCTTTAACAAGTAAGCTTATTTTATTATTTTTTGTCTTGTTTCCTTATCAATATATATAATTAAAGGAATATGTACCTAGAGTAAATTAAAAGTTCAGATGCAAAATCAAAATCAAAGTGTCATCTGAAATATTTGTTTATGTTAGTGTTGAGTTATTTAATGTTAAATGCCATGAAAATAAAAGTGAAGTTATTCAAGTGAAATTATTGAAAATGCACGCAGGAGCCTGAAAAAAAAACAAGAACATTTCAGATGGCACTTAGAGCTTTTTTAATCTGAACTCTTCCAATATTACATAAGATATTGTGTTTTGTTTATTTGTTTTTTTACCCTGGCACATTTAAAAAATAAAGAGAGGGGGGCTGTAAATGGGGAAATAACGTGTGTGTACTAGCAGAGAGAGCAAATTTAATTCTAAATTGACTATATTTTAATTATCACAATTGAATCTTATCACACCCACTTCGAATGCTACCACTTTATTGAATGGGCATTATCAGTGGTTATCAGCTGATAGTCATGAGCCAGTATGAGCCTTCTGCTGGTACTTGTAGACTCAGAAGGCTGTTATCATCCATCCACATGGTTAATCAGCTATACAAATAGAGAAGACTCCAGATCCAGATCTGTTTTCATATTACTGTCACGGTTGGGTTTAGGGTTGGGGTAGGGGTAGGTGTTAATAAAATACAATTATTGAGAAATTTAAGAAATAATATAAATAATTCCGGCCACAGCCGTATGTTATCTATAGCTGATTAACCATGTGGATGGATGATAACAGCCTTCTGAACCTACCAGTAGGCGCAGAAGGCCTCTACTATCTGATGCTGTATTTATCAGCTGACAACCACTGATAACACCCATTCAATCGAGTGATAACATTCCAATCGGATGGTTGTCAAAAACATGCCAAAATTAAAAAAAAAATGTGTTTTTAGCTTAGCAATATGCTAACAACAAACTCTTATAATCAATCGTTCCTTTGGGTATTAGACATGGATTTATTACAGTAAAAGCATTTATTATCATTGTATAACTACAGTTTTATTTCAAAATAACTATGCATAAGCTTTGTTCAATGCAGCAATACCATAATTTGTGGTTTTCGTGATTCAACTGTATTTTTAATTTGTAGTAAAGTCATAGTTAATTTTAATCGATATTTATAAATGTTTTTCGTAAGTATAGCACTAATTATATACTACATTGAGTTGAGCTCTCAGCTCAGGTTTTAAAACTGTTGCTTGCAAGAATTACATTCATTTTAGATACACAAGGTAATATTTAGACTGTTTAACAGCAGCAAGAACTGTTCTTTATTAAACTTTTTTACATTTACCCTGTTAAAGCCATTTAGAGTAAACTTTATCTAGACATTGCGGTTTCAGTTCTAAAATGTTTGCTCTTAAAGTTACATGATGTTTGTTTTAAGATTCATTAAAACAGCATTAAACATCCCCTATAAAAATGTGAGGTCAATTTGTTGTACTTTTCTATCTGTCTTTTTGTAATACATGTTTAAACTGGAGTCATGTTGTTTAGTCTGGCACTGTAACCTCAAGACACGTCAAGTCCAGGAAGCTCTCTTTTGCAATCCCACTTTATTATTTTTTAGATATTCATTTTTTTAGATATTTTTTTTAAAGATTATTTTTTTTCCATAAGGAATCATTGCAGAATAAATAACACTTGCTGTACCCCCAAGAAAAAAAAAAAAAAAAAAAAACCTGTATTCAATTTCCAACACCTTTGACAAGATCAGAAGCTTGACCATGTTCAGATTAATCTGGACCAAATTAGGACGCTCTATATTGTGCTCACTAATGTAATTACTGCATGTCACATATGTGGCACATATGATGCATGTGCTATTTTCAGTTTTGTCTTATTATTAGCAAGACAACAAGAACAAAAATATTGTTGTACACCAGTGTTTTAGTCTTTAGTCTTTTTTTTCAGTTATATTGTTATTATTATTATTAGTAGTAGTAGTAATAGTAGTAGTAGTATGTATTCTTGTTTAGTTTTAAGTTATTTTTAATTTAGTTTAACAGTTTTAGTAGCCTACTTCAGTTTAAACATAGTTCAGTTGGTTGCTAAGGCAGCACATGTGAATATAATACATAAATACAACAAGTGTGAGTTCATTTTCAGCCATTATTGCAGGAAATTAACATTAAGATTGTACAAAATAAAATATATATTTTCCAAGACGGAATACAATTACTGATTAGAACATTAACATCACATACTTGAATTATAGTGTCACTGTCTACATTATCTTGTGTAAATGGCATTTTAAAAAGTAGAAAGGACTTCATCTCAATTTTAACAAGACAACACTTTGTTTAACCTAGCTAAAACACCTTAACCCTTATGTACTGTTGGGAATGTTTTCATCCACTTTGGGGTGATTTTGTGTCTTAATTTGGCCATATCTTATTCTGTGTTTTAGCAAATGTAAAAATGTTTGGTGACAATTTTTTATTTTGACACATATATTTAGAAAATACTTTGAGTTTTTTAAAAACCCTCTGGTTACTAAAGTAACCCAGTGCTATAAGTGGATTTAATCCATGTATGGGGATTTCGTTCAGAAAGCCAATTGTCTAAAAGAGTGTGTACACGGGCCAATGAAATGCCAAATCAATTGGCAGCGTCAGCTTGCACACCTGATGCTTGTTGCAATCAATTTAGCATAAAAGCACAGCGAAAGCAAGACAAGGCAAACTTTTTAAGTTGAAGAGACTGATACCTACAGTTAAGGAACAAACATTATGGCAATGTAATATAGCATTTCTGTTCCCCTCCTTGAGGAACGAGGGTTTATTTAGTAACCAGAGTGTTCCCCTTCAGATGGGGAACTTCAATGCTATAAGTGGATTTAATCCATGTATGGTGAAATATTTTGAAAACGCCATAATGACTGCACCCTACCTTCGCCTCCGATGAGAGGACAGCCAGGCACGGTCTTCCAACGTGATCCCTGGGCCTTACTTATCCTACTTCAAAGAAAATTTACGAATTTAGATATATTTTTCTGGAGCCGCAAGCATCTAGATAATTTATAGGAATTTAAATACGACAGTACGTTGGAAAAGCGTGCAGTCCCGATGTGGAGGATGCTGCAGAGGCCAGCTGGT